GTAAGGTAAAAGACCCAGTTATTGACACTTGCAATTTTATTCCAATTAAAAAAATAAAATTTTTTCAAAAAATCAATTATCTTAAAATTTATAATTAAAAAATGTATTTATTAATTTATTAGAGTTAATTTGTATTTTTTTTTTTTTTTAGTTAAAATAAAATTGCAAATGTCAATTACTAGGCCAGTGTCAATAACTGGGTCTTTTACCTTACTTTTAATTTTTTTAATAAAATTTTTTATAGAAATTTAGTAGTAGTAAAAATCAAAATTAAGTTAGCCGACATCTAAAAATTTTTAGAATTTTTTTTCATTGAAAAAATCACAAAAAAATAAAAAAAAATTTTCATTTGTAAAAAACTTGAAAAACTGCAATTTTTTTAAAATATTTTTTAGCTCTAATTTCATAAATGAAAAATGATCAAAAAATTAAAAACGTCGGCTAACTTTACTATTATAAAAAATTGACAGATGTCCGCTAATTAATACAGTACCATAGTCGCTGTCTATTTTCCGATTAAAACATAATTAAATAAAACCTTACATGTACTATCATTCCATCATCAATAGGATAAGATCCTAGAAGACGTGATCCTTCATTAGGGCTACAAATAAGTTTATTATTTTTATCAAAAACCTCCAATTGCATGGTAGACCGGTTCCCACCGGTTAACAGTTCTAATTTTCCCTGAAGTAAAAAAAATTAATTAATAATTTTTTCCTATTTATATTAAACAATAAAATAAAAATTATAAGTCAATTGTTGAACAAAATAAACCTTAAAATCATCAATAGTAATTCCTTTTTGAAATCTTCTTTCAATACAATTTTTTTGTCCAGAACTCGTGATGCTGACATTTATAAAATCTGAAGTTACTACAGTATATTCAGCCATTTTATATTTATTTTCTGAAAAAATAATATATTATTAGAAGAAAAATTTTATTTTTAAGTAATAAATAACTTTTACTTAGTATTTAAAAATTATTTTGGTTTTTTATTACAACAGTCGTGTCAAAAGGCGCAGTATGAACCTATATTTGGTTGTCTGGAGCCGATTGTAGAGTTCCTCTGTTTTACATGGCGACGAAATTGCCCGAGTCTCATTCTCTTGCTATGTGAACTATATAAAATAAAAAAAAAATAATATTAAACTAAGTTAGAAATTTTTTAGCAATTAAATTATTATAAAAAAAAAATTCTGCGTGTGAAAATTAAAAAAAAATTATTAGTGGAAATTTTTTTATGAATATTTTAATTGTAATTGATTTGTTGTAAAAATTTTGAAAATTGACAGCTGTCAGCTGACTTCAGTATGATAATTTTTCGACGCCACCTAACGTCATTTTTCAAAACTATTCACATAAATTATAATTTTATAAAATAAGTGAACATAATCAATTATCGAGCGACATACATCGTAATCCTTCACACACATACATAATTTACGTTACACCGTTGTAATGTGTTACTAAAAATTTATTTTTTGTTCCGATAAATTTTTCGTTTTGTTTATTATTGAACATATTATTTACATATTACATTTCTATAAGGTTATTTTATAAATCCTCATAAAGTAAATTTTGTTTATAAAATAAGATAAAAAAAATATAAAATAAATAGAAATGTCGTCGTCATCAAAACAAAATCCAAAAAAGTTCAAATGGAATTTAGATTTCGCTCACAAGTATGTATTTATATTATTTTTTAAATAATAAAATTATGAGTAAGTCTATGGACTTTTTATTTGATATTCAATATTGTGTTTTTATTTATTTTATTACAGAAACAAATCGGATAAGAATGCTGATTTACCAAACCCACCAGGTTATAATTCTGGTGGTGCATTGTATCATAGTATGGAAAATTTACGTGAAAATGACTCAAATCATTTGATTATTAAAAAATCATGGGATTTAGCTCTTGGTCCATTGAAACAAGTACCCATGAATTTATTTATTATGTTTATGGCGGGTAATTCTATATCAATTTTTCCAATTATGATGGTTGGAATGCTTATTATTAGGCCAGTTAAAGCATTATTTACAGTTCAACCAAGTAAGTTTATTTTTAATTCAATTATTATGGAAAATTAAGTTAGCCGATGTCTGAAAAATTTTATAATTTTTTTTATTGAAAAAATTATTGCAAAAAAATTTCAAAAACTGTAAATGCAATTTTTAAAAAATATTTTTTAGTTCTAATTTAGTAAATGATAAAAAAATTGAAAATGTCGGCTAACTTTAGTATTATTTCCTTATTTGATTTTTTATTAACTTGCTCAACATTTTCAATAGTTAATAAATTAATAATTGCTCCAAAATTCAAGATTTCGAAAATACATTTATATATCTCGAAATCAGCTTTTTAAATTTATTAGATTGATATAAAATTGATAATAATATTCACAGAAATCTGTCAATTTTTTAGATTTTTATAACAACTAAATTACTGTGAAAAAATTAAAAAAATTCAAATTTAGAGGTTGAAAAAAAAAAAAATAGCAAGCACAAACTTTTTAAAAATATTTTTTTTTTAATAATTTATTTGTGATAAAAACTTTTAAAAATTATCTGCTGATTTTAGTAATATTATAAAAAGTAGTTTAAATTCGTAAAAATCTAATTTTATAAAGTTAGTTTGAAAATTAATTTTTATGAGTTTATATTGATAGTTTTCATTCAATTTTTATTCTTGTATTTACAGAGTTAAATTTAGCTTATTAAGATTATTAATAAAAATTAATTTAGCACATAATTAAGAATTTTACAACAAATAAATTAATGCAAAAAAAATTGTCATGTAGAAATTTTAAAAAATAAATGCAATTTTTTAAAAATGATTTTTTGGAACAAATTTTTTTGTTAAATAAAATTAAAAGGTTGTTGTGACTGCTAATTTTAGTGTCAAAAATCATTACTATTTTATGAGCTTACTGTAATTTCCTAAGTTTCAATAGGAGTATATTTTTTTTTTTTAAATAAAAAAAAAATTACGACTTATAGCTTGATAAAATATCAAATCAAATGTATAACTTCATAAACATTAAAACATTTTATTTATTTTGTTTCAGCATTCAAAGTAATTGAAGGAACGAATGCATATCCTCAAAAATTTGTATTTTTATTAGGACAATTAGTTAATATTGGCTTAGCACTCTACAAGTGTCAATCAATGGGTTTACTACCTACACACGCATCGGATTGGCTCGCATTTGTTGAACCTCAAGCAAGACTAGAATATTCTGGTGGTGGTTTTATCTACGCGTAATTAATAAATTATTTTCTTTATAAATAATTAATTAAATAAATTAGAACAATTTAACTCATCATTAATTGAAAATGTTTTACTATACAATAGTTTATCATTACAAAAAATTAAATTATAATAAATCAATTACTTTGTATCACCTAAATTAATCTATCCGGCAAGTTTATACAAAGAAAAAAAATAAAACAAACCAATAAAAAAAAAAAATTTGTGTATGTACAATGATTATTGTTCATTTTTGTCTATTTTTTCTTATGATCATCAGCAAACTCCTTCAGTCTTTCTATTATTTTTGCTGGTTCATCAACTCTTGGAACCTAAAAAAAAAGTTATTGTTATTATGATGATTATTTATATTCTTATCGAAATTATTATTAAAAAATTACCTCATAATTTTGACTGATATAAATACCAGTGTAAATACCGGCACTGAAGGTCACCTGTAACAAATGTCAACGCAATGTAAATAAATGACATTAAAGTTAGCAATCTCTAGACCAAATTTAAAAAATTACATTTTTAATTTCTACAAGTCAATTCTTTTGTTCTAAATTATATGTTAAAAAAAATATCTTAAAATGATTAAATATCTGCTTAGTTAATTTTCTTTGTAAATAAATAATAGAAATTTCATAAATAATTTATTATTTTCAATCAACTTACCAAAAACTTGATCATTTTTAATTAATTATTAACTAACAAAAAAATTAATTTATTTTTCGATTTTCGTAATTATAATTGTATATATTAAATATAAAATAAAATTTTATCTCTGATGATTTTGCATTAACAAAAGCTGTTAATATACTGTTCACAATTTCCGATTATTTTTACAACTGTAATTTATAACCAAAACAATTCTTAAAGCTTATTTCTATGAACGTACCGTGAAGTTAGCAGATATTGATAAAAATTTTGAAATTTTAATTATAAATTTCTATTATTTTAATAACATAAAAAAAAATGTTTAAAAAATTTAAACTAAAGTTGACAAACATTAAAATTTTTTTTAGAATTTTATAGCAATTAAATTATTATTAAAAAAAAATTCCACATGTGAAAATTAATAAAAAAATTATAATACTAAAGTTAGCTGACGTTTTTGATTATTTGTCATTTAATAAGTTAGAACTAAAAGATTAATTTTAAAAAATTACACTTATAAGTAGTTTTTCAAATTTTTTACAAATGAAAATTTTTTTTTATTTTTTTGTAATGATTTTTTCAATAAAAAAAAAATTTTTTTAATTTTTTAATGTCGATTAACTTAATTTTCATAAAAAAATTATTAGTATAAATTAAATTTTTTGAAGAATTTTTTTTCTTGTAATTTATTTGGTATAAAAAAAATTGACAGCTAACTTCAGTATAACAAAATTTTCATTAAGAAAAAACTAACATAGAAACAGCACTTTACAATCGATTTCAGCACTCGTCTTATTACAGGTTACCCGACGGACGCTCATTTCATAGACAGACATTTCTTGTTACTAATGCGTAATAAATTCCTGTTAAACGAAATATTACCGTTCAATTGAATTCACATTATAAATAACCGCTGATAATATTTATTTAAACTACTCCAGCTGATTTATAAAAATTAGACCAATTGATGACATGAAGCGGCAATTATTATTGGAAAATACAACAATTGCAAATCCAGTTACAAGCTTCTAGGTAAGACATTCTTTTCATACTAATTATTAAATTTTACATGTGGTGGAACTATTAAAATAAGCTTTTTCCCTCCATTAATTTTTTTAACTCCTGATACTTTACTAACTATTATTATTTTTTTATAACCACTAATAAATTATTTACCAATCTTCTGTTTTTTATTGCGTAGTAATATTTTAGCATGACTTTTTTAATCCAAAGTATCAATAGAATAAAATGTTAAATACGTATTATTATCTTGTAGTGTGTGTGTTGACTTAATAAAATCACCATATATATGTCTACAGTATAATATATCTAATAATTTAGTACATTAGTAGTATGTTATTTATTTTATTTTTAATTAATAATTAATTTATTTTTTATTTTTAATTAGAAAAAAAAAATTACCTACGCATCAAAAAATTCATCTGCAAATAGATTATAATTATAGAAATGGTTAACGGAGCACTTCATAAAGTAAATTAATGTTCTGAAACATATTTATCAATATATATGTATATAGGCATACGTATGAGTACTTGCAAATAGTACATAAAATATACCTACATGAAAGTATTACATATCGTGTTGCTACAGTTACAATTGCAATACATCTCTTTGATGAATTGACGTATATACTTTTACGGATGATTAATAGTATTTATTTATTTGATAATTTATTAATTATTTGAGCTAAATAATTTTATTGTGAAAAATAGTGTAATTTATATTTTGTGATATTTGTTATTTAATTTTAATTTTAAAAGATTTATATTTTAATTTAAATTATATTTTTGGGTAGACTTTTGGCGTTCTATTACTGATTATTTTTATGTGGTGGTAATTTGAAACAAAAGTTTATTAAATTTATGTTGTAATACGTGTATTACAGCTGTAAGACAAAAGTACAGATGCCATACATTCTGGTACGTGGTAATCTTGCGTCCTACAGTCACAGATATCCTTGGAGAGTGCTCGTTTCTGGTTTGAAAGGTATCACATATCTGTTATTGTTATTTTTTTTATTTCATTTTAACTATTTACCCTTTTGTAATAACGTTTGCATCCTACTCTATTTATATGAATCTTGCATTTTGTTGATAATTAATAATTGCATCTGTAGAATTTTTTCCCAAGAAAAGTTTTTTGTAGAACCCTGATTAGAAAAAGAGATTTGAAACAACTCAAAGCATGAAAATGAAGTTAGTCGACATCTAAAAAATTTTTATAAATTTTTTATTGAAAAAATTTGAATTAAGCTATTGAAAAAAAAATTGTCACATGTAAAAAACTTTAAAAACTATAAGTGCAATTTTTTAGAAATATTTTTTTTAGTTGTAATTTAATTAATAAAAAAAAAATCAAAAATTTTTACACGTCTTCTGACTTCAGTGTCATCTCAAAACGATTAAAAAAAATTCAACTTGACAAATAGATAGATATACATTTTGCATGGGTTAAATCGTTTTAAATCTTTTTTTTTTTTTTTTAATAAGGAGAAATAACCAAAGAAGATAGCATTGACAATTTTTATAGATTGATAAAACAATTTTATTTGATTCTGGAACCTAAGCTCCCTCAGAGCCATCAGTATTTAATACATTGGTTTGCATTTGTATACATAATATAACTCAGTACAAAATTATTTAATAATTAAAGGTTTACAATTAAATTTAATTTTTAATTTTAATAAAACAGAGGTATGTCATGTAATACAAAAAAGTGAATTAAAGTCGTAAGTCAACTTAGAAAATAATATGTTTAATTTATAACTATAATTTTATCGATTATATGATAGTAAATAATTTGGAGGATGTTTTATATTTGATATAAAATTCAGAACTGGACACTGACCAAAACTTTATTTTAAAAAACTATGATCAGGATTGAAAAGATAATTTTTAGGTTTTGAAATAAGCAAATTTACTTTCAGAAAAAAATTATAAAAATATTTAATTTTAGCCACAAGTTGTTTTTAAAAAATAATACATTTACAAAAAATTAATGTTTCTGTTAACATCTCCTTGAATTTAATGTTCAATTTTTTTTCATGATTATTATTAAATAAAAAAAATATAACTATTTTTTTTTTTTAAGCGTAAATAACAGTAATTATATTTATTATTTATTATTATAACTTTACAGTTTTATACAATTTTTTTTAATTTTTAAGATATAAATATTAGATGTTAGAAAGTAAAATTTTTAAACTTTTTTAAAAAGGTAATAAATTATTAAATAAATGTTAAATATCTCAACATTTAAAAATATTATTTGTTGATAACACTTAATTTATCCTTTGGTATTCAAAATAGTAATTATATTATTCAATTAAGATTAAGACGTTAAATATCTAAAGCAAATTAACTACAAGACATTACGCAATAATTTAATAAAATATAATCCTTAATGTATATAGTTCAAAAAATCTAAAAAAATTGTCTGATGGTATTTAGTTTGATAATTATTATTAAAATTTATAATTACTCATTTATTAAAAAAAAAAAAATTAATTTGTTATAGCGACTGACATTGAACAATTAACTCGTTTTGCGTCTGGTGGTTACTGCGACGATTCAACAATTGTTTATTTACAACATCCTTGTGTAATATTAACGGCGCTAGAAGTTCTGGGTTACAAAGTAGTTGCTTCATCAAGTACGAGTGTAAAACAAGACTACAATGAGTATATGTGGACTATGAGAAAAGATTTTGCGGAACCTGAGCCTGATACAATTGTTAAATCAGGTATGATGTATTTAAAATTTTCTATTATTTAAAAAACAATCATTATTATATTATTATACTTAAAAAAAATAATTTCTGCCATATTTTATTAATTTGATGGTTGTACTTGTACTTAATAATTAAAAATAATATTGCGCGTTTATTATTAAAAATTAATTAAACTATTGAAAGATACGCTTTATTACGTTCGTACATAAAATAAATATAATAATTAAATAATATAATTAAAAAACATAAATACATAAATATATTTTTTTTTATAATTAGTTATACTTTAAAAAGTACGGGTCGTGATATTTTATTGTAGTAACTGGGGCAAATTAATTCAAGAGTAAGAAAACCCATTACTTTGAAATAATCACCAAGAATCATCACATCAGTCATCACGATCATAACAAAAAATTAAACAGCCCGTAATTGTAATAAGCTTCAATAAAAATGGTGAAAAAACGTGGACTTGTTTGGACTTACTACCACAAAAAAGTTGATGGAACATCTGTGGTTGCATTTTGCAAATTTTGTAATAGATCTTACATTCAAAATGCAACGCGAATGGAGAAACATTTAGCGCGTTGTGAAAAGGCGACTCCTGAAGTTAAAGCACTATTTTTACGTGTATCTACAAGTAAGCGTGTAAACAGAGCACGCTTGTTGGGCGCTAAGATTGGCGGTACTTGGATCAAGAAAAATGGTGATGTCACACTTGATATCAGTAATCTCACCGAAGCTGATTTGGAGGATATCAGTGAGTGGAATCGCCAGAAAGAAGAGTTGAAGGAATTCCGTAATCACAGTGAAATTGTAGTACCAGCTCAGAATGTCGAATGCCTTGAGGAGGAAGATGATCCTACTTGGTCATCAGAACAGGATCATTCAAAGACTAATAATCGTCCTTCCGAAGTTGAAGATAAAAAAACACCTATTATTATTAAAGACAACAATGAGTACGAGTCGATTCCTGATCACGATTATGGTATGATTTTTTTTTTTTATTATTATTTATAATTACAGAGAAATTTCGGTAATTTTTTAAAAAATTTATAAATTTTTTTGAAAATTTATTAAAATTGTGATAATCAACTTTTTTTTTTTTAATTGTTCGTTTTTTTATGTATTTCTCAAAAAAAAAAAAAAAAATATATCAATAAAATCAAATAGAAATTTCGTTCAAAAAAATGAAAATTAATGCCACTTTTAATTTTAATAATTAAAAATTTTTTTTTATTTTGCTTGTTTTTACAGCGAATTTATGATAAAAAATGTCATGAAAGGAAAAAATAAAAATTTCGATAGCTTTTTTGCCTTTAAAAGTTAGAAAAAATATTGGCTTTCATTTTTTTGATAAAATTTCTATTTCATCTTTTTTTGATAAATTTTTTTCTTGAAAAATGTATAAAAAAAAAATTCATCAGAAAAAAAATTTTCTTTAGTCCAAAATAAAGTTGACCCCACTTGTAAATAATTACCGAAATTCTTTAAAAAATTTAGAGTTATTTTGTATAATTTATTTTTTTTATCATGTTTTTAGAATTAACTGAAGAAGAAGAAGGACAACAAGTTGTTTGTTACGACGAAGATGATTTTGAAAAAGCACCGATTAACGATCCAATGAGCACTAAGTCACCGGTAGGAGGAGGAGGAAGTTCACCTTTGAAAAATAAAATTCTTCATGAACAATTATTAGAACGAAGAGCTTTGAGAAAAATCGCTGAGATAGAGTTGAAACGTAAAACATTAGAATTAGAACGCAGTCAATATGAATTTGAACAGGAAAAAATGTGTGGTGAAGTACGATGGGCACATGAAAAGCGTTTGATGCAATATAAAGAAGAACGCGAGCGTAAACTAAGTCAACAATAATTTTTTAACAATTCATTTAATTATTTTTAACTTTTCATTTTTCATTTTTAATTACTCATTTTTTTTTACTTACACATTCAGTAAATTACTAAGAAAAATATTCGTGAGTACGAATAAAGCGTTTCTTTCATATATTTACTTTTTAATATTATTCTTAAATTGATAAGTTTATCAATAAAAATTGTGACTTTTTTAATTAATTAAGAAAGTAATATTAAGTACAACTATACATTATTTAAATTTGTAATGTATATATTTTGTAGAAGTAATACTAAAAATTGTTAAAATAAAATATTCTAATAAATATTTTAATTTTTCGACTAAAATTTTAAATAATAATTTTAAAAACTTCCCTAAGTAATTTCAAAATTTTAGTGATTAAAAATAATTATTCTATGCAGATATATTTTTTTTTTTAGAACTAAAAGACAACGAAGTTTGAGAGTTATTTATATTTATTTGATAAAAAAATATAAATATAAAATGAGTGACCAAAAATTAGCTGAAAATATCGGTTCCTTGATAGCAAATGAATGTTATTATTACGTTGCCGTAAAAGGTTCACCATTTGCTGCGGACTGTTCTGTATTTGGATTGATAGCTGATGAAATGCAGGCACTTTGTAAGCGTTTTCCTAATTCAGGAACTGACGTTATGAACGGCGTACTGATCAAAGGTTCATATTAATTTTTTTTTTTTTTTTAATATTAAAACATTAAATTATTTTGCAACTGCTTAATGATTAAAAATAATAACCGGGTACAATTTTATAGAATAAAAATTTAATTTCAGGGTCACCAATTCCGGTTATAAATGCACTGGCTGAACTAGGATATCGGATCGTGTCTAGTACTGGAGAAGCGGAAATACTTTGGACATTGCAAAGAGAAATTTAAATAAATTATATTTATAAATAATCTAACAAAGTTATTACGCACTACATATTAATAATTAATGTTACTGCACTTAATATTGTCTATCTGTGGAAAATAATCCATTTTATTGAACGATAGAAAATTTATTTTTAATATGCATCACTTACTCCAAGAATTCCATTAGTATAATTAGCTTTTTTCTCTTTTTCAATTTTTTTTATCGATCGCAATAGTTGAGCATTTAAAATAATTTACGGATATAAAAAAAGTGTATTTATTTTTCTATAATCAATCCATTAAATTTTATTCCAAATAATGAATTTTGAAGCGTATGAATCAAAATAAAAGATTATTTAATTTATTTTTATTAAATGTGTAGGAAAAAATTTTAACAATTTTTATACATTCAAATTTTATTAACAGGTACAACTTATAAAAATAATAAATATGGCAGTTTAATATATATAATTAAGAAAAAAAATTTTTATCAAAATAGTATTATTAAAAAATTATTTTTATTATTTGTATATTAATTTTGGAATTTATTTCTGTACTTAAAAAAATAACAGTGGAACAAAATAGTGTCAATTTAAATATAATGAAAAAAAAAAAAAAAAGACCAATTATATATGATTGATAGTGAGAATATAGTTTTTTGACTTAAATAAATATTAGCGAATTATTTTATAAAACATACCAATTGATTTTAACGAGTTACCTAATCAATGATAAATAAATTTATAATTATATACTTTATTGTATTAAATGGCAGCCTAATGCTATCTATAAAAATTAAAACATGTAATTGCGTGCAATAAATAAAATTGCATTTAAATAATCAATAATTTTATTATTTTTTAATTCAGTATAATTCTCAATACTCTAGATAAGATTAAGATTAAAGAACACCGTGGAAGATTTAATTTTAAAAAGTCCAATTAATAATTATGGAGGAAAAAATTAATCACGACCACGGTCATGATCATAATCATACATGTAAATTAGATAGTGGAACTAATGTTCGTCAGACTATTTCCGAAATGGATTTTGAGCGAGGAATCTGGTACGCAGGTTTGTAAAAAAATTAATTATTCTTACTAATTATATGAAAAAATAGTCAAAGTAGCTTCTATGTAAGGACTTTAAAACGTCGAGATCTAATAAAAAATTGATTTTTGGAAGTGAGGCTGAAAAAAACACTAACCAATTTCCTTAAATTTTCAATTTTTTGTATTATGTGAAATTCACTGAAAAAAATTAAAATAAAATTTTTAACTTCTCCTAACATAATTTGATAATTTCCAAAAATTCAGCTGTGATAATATTTTCAGTTCAACTTTCAAAAATCATTTTTTTATTAGATCTCGACATTGATAGGTTCTTAGAAGTTATTTTGATTATTTTATCATATAATATGCCCTTCTGGCTTTAAAAATTTTTTTTCAAAAGTCAAAAGGGTGTATGTTAAGAAAAAAAAATTTTTTTGCGTTTTTCAACAAGATTTTTACTTTTTGCATTCCCTAGTTGATTGGAAAAAAAATTTTTTTTATACGCCCTTCTAGTTCTGCAAAACCAAAAGGACGTATATTTTGAGATACACTCTTTTGACTTCAGTAAATAAAGTCACTTTAGTAATTAATATTTTTTTTTTACTAATTTTTTAAATAAATTTTTGAAGCCCAATCAGATGACATTGCTCGGGTGAAGCAGCTTTTGGGTAAAGGTGCATCTGCTTCTGAGGAAGATTCTGCTGGATATACGGCTCTTCATTATGCAGCTCGTGCGGGACATTATGATGTATGTAAGCTGCTGTTAGAACACAGTGCTCGGGTGAATGCAATCACGCGATGCGGTCGAGCAACACCACTTCACAGAGCTGCTAGCAGAGGAAATGAAGATGTAGTACGTTTGCTGTGTAAATTTGGAGCTGATTTAAATATTCAGGATGCTGATGGATATACTGCACTCCATCGAGCAGCTCTTGCTGGGTCGCTGAGTGTTTGGAAGCTTTTGGTTGATAAAACTTCTGCGGATATCGTTGATAATAATGGTCACACTGCGGCACAGTTAGCTGAAATTCAAAATAAATTTATTATTTAATAAAAATTGTAGTTTTTTTTTTTTTAATATTTTGTCTCAATTATTAGCTAAGAAATATTTAACTTTTTCCACTTTTTATTTTTATATTTATTCATCAAACACTGTTAGCACTTTTTGTCGCTTTGCTAAATGGCTCTATCTTAAAAAAATAATTATTTTTTAATTATAATGAATTATAATTAAAAAATAATTTTTTAATTTTAGTATTTTATTTCAATGTTATAGTTTCACTACTGTACTTTTAGCAATAAAATAAATTATAATTATTATTATTTTTTTATTTTAATAGTAAGTGATAATATAATCATTGAGACTGTTGATGATGATAATAAATGTTTTTTTTTTATTTGTGTATTCTGAATGTAAAGATTATTTTCGTTCTTAGAAATAGTCATGAAATAAATTGTAATTGAAGTTCAGTGACATGCAGTACAGACAAATAGTTTATTTTTAATGATTGGTTTTTATGGACTGTTCATTGTTGCGAAATTTTCGAAATCTACGCTGAGAGGAAAAATTGAGCAATGTTGTAATAAGAAATAAAATTATTTAAAATTTTCAATTAATTAATTTCTTGTCACAACAATGTTTATATTTGTCAAAAGAATATAATATATAATATAAATAATATAAATAAGTTTTATTTGTATCACAATTTTTGTGTTTTACAAAGTCACATAGTTGTTTTTACATATTTCTTTCATATAAAAGATAATTTACTCTCGTTATTCTATTTTTCTCTTATTTTAATTTTTGGCTTGCACTATTATTACTACACATTGTAGTTGACTATAATTAAATAAATTATGCTTTATTTGTGCTACCAATATACACTTAACTTTCTATTTACTCTTTTATTGCTTTTTCTTAGACTATTTTTAATATTAATTTCTTAACATTTTTCATACTTTATCCTACTCATTCAGACCCAATCTTATTGTTTTACTTGAATTAAATTCAGCACCTTATTATTATCACTGCTTTTATTACACTCATCCTTCTCGCACTCTCTTTGTATTTTTTCTATTTCTTTTATTAATTTACATAGATTTAGTCATGAAATAAGAAACTTCTTATATTTATTTACCCACCACAATGCGTATCTTAAATATCATTTGATGACAAAGACAGTATCATTTTTTTTTATCTAAGAACAAATGTCTTTAGTCTTAAAAGGTAAATTTTTAAATTTTAATTATTCTTTACTATTTTTATTTAATATTAAAAAAAATCTATTTTAATATTTGATTGCAGTAATTCATTAATAAAAATTATTTTAGTCATTTAACACTGTGTTAGCAATTATTTATTAGAAATTTGTTATAAAATTAAGTAAAATTCATATTTTTTAACTTAAATTTCCCTGCAAGAATTTTTTTATATATTTTTACTTCAATATTATTATTATATATACTATCAGGAGAAGGAACGGAAAAATAGGTATGAAGGGATGCGAGTGTATGACAATATACGCGATCGCGATTCATTTGTTTCTTCCGACGAAATAACTAATAACTGAAAGATTTTGTTTCACGCCACTCGTCATTCGTCATTCGATCGCTGTTTACGGTACGTTGAATGTGTCTTGGCTGATCTATTATTATTGAGATATGTAAGTATTTTAATTTAATTATTTAATATTGTTTTTAATATAATTTTAAAAAAACTCGGTTATAAATTAAACCTGCAAAAAATGGAATATTCATTGTTATCTTAATAATGAAAAATTAATAGAATTATTGATAATATTAAAGTTAGTTAATATTAAATTAAAATTAAAAAATATTTTTTTTTAATTGCACTTACAGTTTATGAAAATAAATATAGCAAATATTTAATAATTTTTAGAATATTTTTTTTTAATAAATTACGGCAAAAAAAATTGACATGTAGAAATTTAAAAAAATAAAAAATGCAATTTTTTTAAACAAATTTGTTTGTTAAAAAAAATTAAAAAATTCTCTAGTGTCTGCTAACTTTAATGTCATTTACAGTTTTTCAAATTTTTTACACATTAAATTAAATAAAAAGAGTTTTTGTAATAATTTTTTCAATAAAAATAAATTCTTAAAATTTTAAGATGTCGGCTAACTTAATTTTTATAATTATTGTATTGCTATTTCACTGTATTGAAGAAGAAAATCAATCATTTAATCTTATGATAATTTTTTTTACATACTTTGACTTTTTTTTTTTTTTTTTTTCAGTTAAAAAACGGAATTTCAGTTTCAAGTATGTCACTTTATATAATTGTCAAAGGTATTTTTAATTATGAGGGAAGCAGAACGTACTGTCATTCTGTAGAAGGACTTGATATCGCGCTTCAATCATCTTTTAATGACAATTTTCACCTTATGGGAAGTTTTGACCTTATGCGAAGTGGTGAATTACCACATCATTTGAGTGAATATCAGAGTAAGTCTCACAATTTTTTAATATTTCTTACAACATAAACGTCAAATAACTTTAAATATATTAATGACACTTATATATATTTTAATATTAATATTCATAGTAAAGTTATAGATATTATTTTCAGAACCAATGTGTGAAGTATTGAATTTTTTTGCTAAAAACGGTTATCGCGTTATCTCTTCTACGTACGCTAAAGCAGCTTTGAGACCAAATAAAAATGGTCTGCCAGAAGATGGTATGATATGGACATTGGAAAAAAAAATGTCATAGTATCACTTTATAAAGAAATTCGACTAAATTATCGGCAGCTATTCGCTTCAAAACTAGACTTTTTGCCTGTAGCATTACGTAGAGGTGATGTCCGACAGGACTACCTACGTATGCCGCGGGCTAATTGTGTCATGTATGATAATTCATTCTTAATTCATGGCATACGCATTTGGAATGCACTGCCGTCTGAGACTGTGGCTGTAGATAATTTGGTTGAATTTAAAAATGCTTGCTTCAATTACTTTTTTGAACATGACAGTTAGCAACTGTAATCTTTATTTTTGATCTTATTGAAATATATTTATTTGTATAATTATTACGAAGTTAAATTAAGTTATTTGTTTGTATTAAATGATCCAGCTGGATTTTATTACATTTAAAATTAAATCTAATTGTAAACCTTTAATTAGTTAAGTAATCTTGTAACCTATGTAAACCAATGTAATTTAAATATTGATGGCTTTGAGGGAGCTTAGGCTCCAGAGCCAAATAAAATTTTTTATCTATCTATCTATCTATCTATTTGAATCATAATAAATTACCATAAGTGTAAATGTCTTAATTCTTTATATCACACTTTAATTTTTATGTCATTTACCATTACTATATGGATAATCACGTCAAATAAAATAATATTATGAACATGTAATTCTAAAAATAAATTTGTTATTGATTCAATTCTAATAAAAAAACAAATAAAAGAATTTCACCTTGATTTAAAACAAATTTCCACGTTCAAATTTTCCCACAAGAAAACTCAGGTTTTAAAAATGACTGTTTCCGGCAATTTTAGCCCTCGTGGTCGTAGTGGTATTTCAGTTTTCCATCTTCAAATGCACTCAATCGTTTAAAGTTTCTCTTTCAGTGTAGGTCAATTTTCTTGAGATTTTCCATCTTAAAATTAAAAGAAGGTATGTTTGCTTTTTTTTAATTTTTGTTTTATAAATTACTGTAAAAAATTATTTAAAATTTACGTTTATATTTCTAAGCAATATTTATTAAAAATAATCAATGAAAATTAATGATACGATAATTTTAATATAGAATGCAACAGGTATTTGTCAACAACAAACATGCGTACGGCCTCAAATTTTTTAATGAATCATAACAAAGTATGGGGGAACTACGATCTATTCAGCTTGTTATCGACTAAAAACCAGCACTAAAATAAAATTATTACAATCACAGTTCTTGTTCTGTAATTGTCAATTTATAAAAAAGTTTATTTCAGTATTAAAAATTGTTTAAAAAATAAAAATTATCATAAAAGTTCAACTTTACCAGCAAAGGCCAAAAATTAGCGAGGTCATTTAAAAATAATAATTTTAGTTTCAATGTAAAAGTTATTAAATAAGCCAAAGAACATTATTTAACTTTGTTTTGCATCCAGATAATTATTATTTTTAAATATTTACAGAAAAATGTCTAATAATGGGAATGATCGAAGCAGTGACGCTTACATGTGGATTCAAGGAAACATTTGTGGAGTTGGATGTTTAATTTACGGAGCGACTTCTAGAATAAAAGGGATTTTACGGAATAACTTCAGAATAGAAGATTCGACGAATGGTGACCATATTGCTGGTAAATTAATAAATTAAAAATATTTTTAATTGGTATTTAATTTTTTAATTCATAATTAAAATTTTTTTAGCGGCTCCTACAGTTGTCATTAATTTTTTAGTAACATGTGGATATAGAATTAAAGAGACCACTACAATCGATCATTTTAATTTGCTTTGGACTCTTCAGCCTCAAAATTTTAATTAAAATCTGTTTTTTAAGTGTTACTTAATTACAGTAATGTTTTTATTTTTTCAATTGTTACAAAAATAAATTTAAGCATTAGTCTACTACATCAGTATTAATAATTTTTTTAATATATAGTTCTGTTTCATTAATTGTTTTTTTAAGGATAGAAATTTATAATAAATAATTTTATTATTTTATTTAGTATACAAATTAATAATAATTAATTTTTCTTACGAAAATTAAAAAAATATACTCATAATTCTAAAAACTTTCAAAAATTTTTTTTATAGTCTTAATATATTCTTCAGTAATTTATTTTATAAAAAATATCCACGTTTTATAAATTCATTTATCAAGTTAGTGATCAAATTAAAAAATAAATAGATATTTTGCTTCCTTAAGTTTAATTTATCGGATGTACTTACACGCGGAAATTACCACCAATGTAAAATAATAACCAGATGCTTTATCCTTTCATCTTATATCTCATACATAAGTATGTGATGCTAATTATACTACAAAATACTGAAGAAAATTTACTGAAATAATTTTATTTAAATTAATATGACTTAAATTTATTAAAAAAAAAAGTTTTTTTCTATGTATTTATTTAAAATTATCATTAATTTAATTTTTAATATAAATGAAGCTAAATAAAAAATATCGGCTAACTAATTATTTTAAAAAATTTGTGTTAAATTTTTAATATTTTTTTGATTTTGCTTAATTCATTAAATTTGAATTAAAAAATATTTTTTTAAAATTGCACTTACAATTTTTCAAATTTTCAACAAATTTTTTTGAAGCGACAACGCAAAATTTCTTAATTTGTAGAATTTAATTTTTTATTTCACAATATATTGAGTGTAATAATAAAATTAATATTGCACCTGAATATCGCGAATATTCTTCAATGAAAACTAAACATATTAATTGAAACTCTATCGATAAAAGAGCTAGACTTCATACTGCAGTTAATTAATTTATTTATTCCTTATCTAATACACATTTTATAGAACCATAATACGGATACTTAACACACATAAAGCGATTGATAATTTATAATTTAATATATGTAAGTATACTTTTTTACGGAAAAATAAAACTTATATATTGAGCGATTAACATTTACTTGTACTTATAAATGAGATTACACACACTAAAAAAAACATACTACTGATTTTATTACAATTATCAATATACAATAAATCACAAATTTATTGCAGATCGACAATTGGTTTTGTAGTAAAAAATTTCCCAATGCACGTGTAGTTATTTTTATTATTGATTTTACTATTTTATTTAAATAAAAAGTAAGTTTGTCAGAAAAATTTGTTGCTGATTTTGAAATTGGCGAAGATAATAATTATATTTGTTTTAGGGCAAAAAAAATGGGCTTGACGCTTCGGACACCAATGATGATCTTCACTCGAATTTTATTACAATAAACTTACCTCTATCTTTCTGACTGCAGTCATCGATTCATTAAATGAATTTGCGCCGTTTACGGAGAGAAAACTATATCGTCAAAAAACACCGTGGCTGACGAAAGACCTCAAGCTGGAGTTACATAATCGTGATACTATTTATAAGCAAGCTCGCAGAACGGAGAATTTAAATCTCTTATCCTTATATAAAAAACTAAGAAGCGAATTAAAAATTAAGATATGTGATGCACGTGATAATTATTTTAAAAATGTTTTAGAGGAAAGTGCTCAGGGCTCTGACATTTGGTCCAACCTGAAAAAGCTAGGAATTATTAAACCTAGGCAGTCTTCACCACTGGATCACTTTGATGCAAATTTACTGAATAATTTCTACGCTAGTACTGTTACCAAATACCCGTCATGTGACAAAAATTTCGTCTTTGATCTACCCAATCATCATACGAAACAAGTAAATTGTGTCTTCAACTGGTCAAAGTTAGATATTGTTGATGTGACAAAAAATCTCCAGCTAACGTTATCAAAATCTAAAGGTAACAGTCCGGACGAGCTGGATCTTAAGTGGTTGAAGGATCATCTGTCGCAGATTACTCTCTTTCTGACTGCCTTATTTAACCGTTCACTGGATTCAGGTGTTTTTCCTGATGCTTGGAAGTATGTTTATGTTATCCCATTAAACAAGGTAACCCCGCCAAAAACTATGTCGGATACTAGGCCGATAGCTAATCTGTCACATGTCGCCAAAGTCTTTGAACGGTGTGTTGCAAATCAAGTAGTGGATTATCTTGAAGCAAGCAACCTTTTGAATGAGCATCAATCTGGTTTTCGTAAGCATCATAGTACCCAGGCTGCATTGCTTAGATTAACTGACGATTTTCGTCATGCCATCGATAATGATGATCTAACATTTCTTGTTCTTTTTGACTTCACTAAAGCCTTTGATCATTTGAACCATAAAGTGCTACTTACGACGTTATTTGAAATGGGTTTTTCCATTGAATCAATTTTGTGGTTCCAGTCCTACCTCACGGATAGATCTCAGTCGATTATTGATGCCTCGAATACTCCTTCAAGACCTTCATTTACTACGTCGGGGGTTCCACAGGGATCGATCTTGGGCCCTATTCTTTTCTTGATTGCTATAAATGGAGTGACGAGGCGATTGCAACATTGTAAATACGGTTTATTTGCGGATGATTTGTGGGCTTATATCCATTTCAAATCTTTTGAGTTGTATGAGGCTGCAGACAAACTTACTGTCGATGCTCAAAGTGTGGCAGACTGGGCTCGTGAAAATGATCTACAATTAAACTTCAATAAAACTAAGGTCATGATCCTAGGCAGCAAAGGAAAACTGAAGTTACTTGATGGTTTTGACCTACCACCAATCATTGTTGATGGTAATGTCATAGCTTATGTCGATACCACTAAACATCTAGGCATCGAACTATCGAATAACCTCTCATGGAATGCTCATACTTCGCAAATCTCTAGGAAGGCCTATGCTGCGTTAAACAGCTTGAAGTATAGAAAAAATATCTTATATTAATCTTGTCGCAAGCTACTTGTCACTACTACCATCCTACCGATAATTAATTATTGCTCTCTTGTATTGTTAGACTCATCAAAAGGACTTGATATCAAATTACAACGCATACTAAATAGTACAATAAGATTCATCTTTAATCTTAAGCGGGATGAGCATATCACGCCCTATCGTCAAGATTTAAGATGGCTCGTCAGTATTAGGATGCATAGGATTTATAGTCTGGCATGTTATTTTTACAAGTTATTGCAGATTGGAGAACTAAAATATCTGCGAAAACTGTTCTGTAATGAAGATGAAAGTGTTAGGCGTTCGGATAGACTTGCTCAGAAAAATAATAATATTATCTTCAGAATTCCTAATTTCCATTCTGTTGTCTTTGAACGCTCATTCGTAGTGTCAGCTATACGCCTATGGCAGGAACTTCCGCTGGATTATGTCATAAGCTCTTTATCAATAGGGAGTTTTAAACTCAAAATGCTAAATTACCTTTTGGATCTTGAAGCTGGTGGTAAAGACGTGAATTTGGTTATAAATAATTTGTAACTTGCAGGAATTAGTAGGAGTTGTAAATCTTGTAAACATTGTTAAGAGTAGATTTGTAAATTTGTAAATTTATAAATTTATAAATTATCAAATTGTTATGTTTTTAATTACTTACGAAGTAAATTAAATATTAGTTATATATTCATGTAAATATATTTCCACTGTTTTGTATTCTTGCCATTCGGCTCTGGCCTTGGCATACAATTAATAAATAAATAAATAAAATAAATAAATTCTGTCTTCCGCTGGTTCTTTAAATAAATACAGTTTTTCAACAGTATCAGGTCCAATGGAAGGTCACTGGTGTGTTGTTATAGGATTGAAGAAAAGAATTGATTCTGAAACTACTTTACTATCAAACTAGATGCGTTATGGAAGTAATTATTAAACATACTATTTTTATGATACTAAAATGAGCCGACTTTCATAAAATTTTTTATTTTCTTTGACAATTAAATTACAAATAAAAAAAATACTCAAAAAAAAATTGCACGTATAATTTTTAAAATCCTACATGTGAAATTGTTTATTTTAATTTTTTTATAATAAATTTCATGATACTGAAATTCAAAGACATCTGATAATTTTTAGAATTTTTTTGATAAATAAATTATACTAAAAAAAAAAACATTTAAAAATTTTCATCTTTAGAAGCTTTGAAAAATTATAAATGCAATTATTTAAACATAATTTTCTAGACCTAATATATTTCTTAAGAAAAACCAAAAAATTGTCAAGTGTCTGCTAATTTCAGTATCATTAAATTTCTTCAATAAAAAAAATATAAAAATTTTCATCGATATTTAGAGTTTTTATAAAAAATAAATTATAATTTTTTATTGAAAAAATTTGACTTGTAGAAAATTTGAGAAATTCTAAGATTCAAAAGAAATCTTCAGCTAAGAAATAAAATTTTTTTTAATTTCAAATAAATTAATTTATTGTCTCAACAATGCTCATTTTTTTTTTTTTTTTTTCCAGAGAATATAATGGAAGTAGCAAATATACTTGGCCAGCAAGAATATAGAATGATAAATTTTAATCCGAAACCAAACAATGAAGAATATTATTCTATTTTCTTACAGAAGAAAATTTTTGTTGTACAAAATGCATTTTCAAATAGATCTAAATTATATTGGTAATTATTGAAATATATATCTGCGTGTAAAATTTATAATAAATAAAACATGTTTCTACTGAAGAAAAATTTTGCATATCAATTTTAAACAAATAAATAATTGAAAGAGTATTTTCAATATTTTAAAAAAATTGATTAATATTTTATAATTGAAAATATGTAATTATTTTAAAGAAATAGATTTGATATCTTTTAAAAAAATGATTTTAAAAAAATTTTGTAAAATTACGTTCAATGAGAAAATTTAATTTAGCTATTAAAATTAATTTAGCAGTTTAATAATTTTTGTAATAAATAAATTATGCCAAAAAAAAATTGACATGTAAAAATATGAAAAATAAAAAATGCAATTTTTTAAAAATAATTTTTAAGATGAAAATTAATTTAGCAGATTTTTGATAATTTTAACAATTCTTCTAAGAAATAAATTATTGCAAAAAAAAATTTAGAAAAAAAAAATTGACATGTAGAAATTGAAAAAAAAAAAAAATAGAATTTTTTAGAACAAATTTGTTGAAAGAAAAAAAAGAAAAAAATGGTCTAGTGACTGTGAACTTTAATGTCATAATTTAACTAAATATAAACTTTCCATTTTCAAATTTTCCCTCATTATGTAAGTATACATTTCCACTAAGATAGTTTCCGGTCTTTTTCGCCACGAAAGCATTTTAGTTTTTCCGTATCCACCGACGCTTAGAAGTCGCATACCTCAAACGTCAGAAAGTGAAGGTGAGTTTTTCAGAATTTTCATATATATATATTTTTTTTTAAAGCAAAACAATAATTGTAATAAAAAAGTTTAACTGCTAAAATAAATACCGTAAAACTCTTGCTTATTATTAATAATTTCAAATAATAGAAAAATTTATTAAAAAGAAATATAATTTACAAAAATTCAAAAAGAAAACACTCATAGACGCAACAAGTTTATTTTGTTGGTAATTTAGGCTTTTTCGGAGTATATTTAGAGTAAATAACTAAAAAAAAATATTATAAAAATAATGCCGGTTGCTATTTTAGTAATACTTTATTTATTTTTCAGAAATATAAAAATTTTTATCTAAAACAGAGTTAAGAAAATTTTTATTAGAATGTCAAGCACTAACGGTTGTGAAAATGGTGTTTACATATGGATCCAAGGAAGCATTCGAGGGGGTGCGTGTTTTGTGTACGGAGCAAACGGAGCCGCAAGAGATTATCTAAGACGGCATTTTCGAGCAAAAAGTGATACGGCTGATGGAATACACATGGATGGTAAATTTTATTATTTTTAAAAATTAAATTAGCTGACAAATAATTTTTTTAATAAATTAATTTTTTTATAATAATTTCATTCTATAAAATTTAAAAAAATTAAAATTAAGTTAGCCGACATGTGAAAATTTTTATAATTTTTTCAATAAAAAAAATTTTTCATTTGTAAAAAATTAAAAAACTACAAGTGCAATTTTTATTTTCATCTTATTAAATAAAAAAACTTCGGCTAACTTCAATATTATAAATTATTAATAAAATAAATGTATAATTAAAAAAATGTATTTTATTTTTATTTCAGCGCCTGCAACTGCTGTTATCAATGCTCTACGAGTTTGCAATTACCAAATACACAACTCATTATCATTAGAAGGTTTAAATATTTTATGGACTCTAGAACCAAAATCATGATTGTACAAAATTAGTGTTTAAATTTACACTTAGCGTAATTGTGTAAAATATTAGACAAATTTTCTAAACTAAAATTTATTTAGTAAAAATTTAACTCATTCATAAGACATCATGTTGCTGGCTGGGTATTTGATAAATAATTATAAAATTAATATGCGAGTTTGCAATTACTAAGTACATAACACATTATTATTGGAAGCTTTTTGAATATTTTGTGGACTCTTGAATTGACTGCTGTCAATTTTATAAATTTTTCTAACAAATTAATAACACTAAAAAAAATATTTCTGACAATTTGGCTGCCTAATAAAAAATACTTCAAATTAAAATCTAAACATTATAAGAAATTATATGCAGCAGTACTAAAAAAAAATCAGGTATAAAAATTTTGCAGTTAGTGTTTTAAAATTGAGCAGCCGAATTATCACTGATGATTTTTTTTTTAATATTGACATGTGGAACTTTTTTCATAATTTGTCAAAAAATTTTCAAGTTTGTTAACTAGAGTGTCATAAAATTTTCAATGTATTTTCTAAACTGAAATTTATTTAGTAAAATTGTTACTCATACCGATCAAACTACTCTCTAATATATAATTATAAGATTGAAATATGTGCTGTGAGTTTGCAATAATAAAATACACAGCGCATTATTATTAGAAGCTTAAAAAATTAAATGAACTCTAAAATCAAAATCTATATTTGTATATAGTTAGTGTTTCAATTGACACTTAGCGTAATTATGTAACGTATTAGATAAATTTTGAAAGCTCAAATTTATTTAGTAAAATTGTAACTCATTCATAACAGTCTAACTACAGTCGAATAGATAGTTATAAGCTTAATATGATGATAATTTTTTATTAATGGATATTATGACTGAAACTTGAAGACTGATTTTATTGAAGCTCATTAGTAGATTGGTAGTATAATTAAATAATTGACTGTTTAAATTGTTTAGTGTCATAATTGGAGCCATCGATTAATTATAAATTTTACAATGTTAAATAATATAGTGTTTTTTTTTTTTACGTATTGTACTTGTTTTCAATGGAACTGAATAGTAAGGCTGATTAAAATGATAAATGAGTTACTTAATTAGTTTAATTTTTTTATTATAAAATTGATGATTTAATAAAAGTTTGCAATTATTTTATTCAATTATTTATTTATTTATCTGCAATAACTATCTACAGATTTTAGTTACTTGAATTCATATAAGATAGAGTTCGAGCGTATTTTTATTGAAGAGTTTATAATAAATATTTAGGTCACTACAACCTCAAGTTATCATTTTTAATAGCTGATTATATTTATGATAAGATCAAAAAAAAATTATTTATAATTAAAGACAAAATTATTTAAGATAAAATTTTTATACCTCTATTTTTTTTTTTTTTTTTTTTTTTTTTCTTGGTGCTAAAAAAAATTTTTTTT